AAAGAGCCAGAAGAATACACACAGTAAGATATTTTTTAAGATGGTCTGGCACAGGCCAAGGAGGCCATGACTTCATGGTGATAGTCAGGGAAGAGGTTGGTGAGAGGGGTGTCCGCTATTGGCTGGATGGTGAGGCGAGGGAAGTTTGGAAGTGATGGGAATATTCTGAATCTCAATCTGGGTTGTGTTTACACAGGTGTATAGGAATGTAAAAATCCCATCAAGCTGCATACTTAAGATTTATGCACTTTATTACACATGACACCCCAACAAAAGATAACAAGAACCTAATAATGATGATGATGATGACGATGACCAAATAAGGACCCTAATCCCACTGCCTCGAAATTACTCGTTCACAAAACCACGAAGACCGCAGGGAAAAGCATTTTGGGAAATGACAACGCCAGGCTTGTGAGGAAGGAGTTCCGAGGTGGCTCTCAGGACTGGCCGTAACCTGTCCGCACGCTGACACTGTGTGCGGAGACTGTCCAGCGGGAAGGACAATGCCGGGCTCAGCCCAAGCAAAGGTGAACCCGTGACTGCCTCCGACCGGGGGGGCCGCACCCCACCCTCCAGCGCTCCTGCGGAGAGCCCCGCCCGCACGGCGGGCGAGAAGCCAGCCAGTCAGCAGCCTGCCCGATCGAGGGTCACTCGATTAAGGGTCTCCGTCACCTAAGCTGACCACGCGCCTCCAATGAGCGAGCTGCCCGTTGAGCTGCCCAATAAGCAGCGGCTTTACGCCCCGAGCCGGCTCCCCGGCTCCGCAGCGTTTCCGCAGTCAAGGCTCCACTCCGAATACCGGTTGGCTCCCTGCCAGCCAATCACCGAGGCGCCCCTGGACTGACAGCCAATAGCTGTCCCCTTCCCTGCGCCGGCCCGTGACGGTTGGCGCCGAGCTCCGGCAACCTGAGGTAGGCAGGGGCGGATTGGCGCAGGCGGCGTCCAATGGGTGGCGCGCGTGCGGCGGGGGGGGCCAATGAGCACGGCGGGGGCGGGGCGGACACTGTGGCGGGCGGCTGTGAGGAGAGGCCGGTGGCTGCCGGTGGCGGTGACGGCGGCAGGCGGCCATGGCAGAGGCGGAGGCAGGCGGCGACGACGCCCGCTGCGTGCGGCTGAACGCCGAGCGGGCCCAGGCGCTGCTGGCCGACGTGGACACGCTGCTGTTCGACTGCGACGGCGTGCTGTGGCGCGGCGAGACGGCCGTGCCCGGCGCGCCGGAGACCCTAACGGCGCTACGGGCCCGCGGCAAACGCCTCGGCTTCATCACCAACAACAGCAGCAAGACCCGTGAGGCCTACGCCGAGAAGCTGCGGCGCCTGGGCTTCGGCGGCCCCGCGGGACCCGGCGGCAGCCCCGAGGTCTTCGGCACGGCCTACTGCACCGCGCTCTACCTGCGCCAGCACCTGACCGGCTCCCCGGCTCCCAAGGCCTACGTGCTGGGCAGCGCGGCCCTGGCGGCCGAGCTGCAGGCCGTGGGTGTCGCCTGCGTGGGCGTGGGGCCCGATCCCCTGCAGGGCGACGGCCCTGGCGCCTGGCTGGACGCGCCCCTCGAGCCCGATGTGCGCGCCGTGGTGGTGGGCTTCGACCCGCACTTCAGCTACATGAAGCTCACCAAGGCCGTGCGTTACTTGCAGCAGCCCGGCTGCCTGCTCGTGGGCACCAACATGGACAACCGGCTCCCCCTCGAGAACGGCCGCTTCATCGCGGGTCCGTGCGCCCCGGGGCAGGGGGTTGGAGGGCGGCAGCGGCGGGCCCTTCCAACCCTCTGACCTCGGGCGCTCTGTCCACCCCCCCTCTCCGCCCCTCAGGTACCGGTTGTCTGGTCCGAGCCGTGGAGATGGCCGCTGAGCGCCAGGCCGACATCATAGGGAAGCCCAGCCGCTTCATCTTCGACTGCGTGTCCCAGGAGTACGGCATCAACCCAGAGCGCACCGTCATGGTGGGAGATCGCCTGGACACAGATATCCTCCTGGGCGTCAGCTGTGGCCTAAAGACCATCCTCACCCTCACTGGAGTCTCCTCTCTGAGAGACGTGAAGAGTAATCAGGAAAGTGACTGCATGTCTAAAAAGAAAATGGTCCCTGACTTCTATGTTGACAGCATAGCCGACCTTTTGCCTGCCCTTCAAGGTTAAAGATTTAGCGTCTTTAATCTTCAGAATAAAAAAAAAAATTGAAAATCACTTAACCAAATTAATAGGTGGGGCTTAAACACTTGCTCAGCTAGGAGGCTTTAAAGGTGATACTTGGAGCTAAGCAAAGGCACTGCTAACCTTGGAAGTAAAGGTTTGGGGGGGGATTTTGTTAGAGGTGTTTATAATTTAAGATGCACTTTTTTTTGAGAGAGAGAGAGAGTAAAGGAGATACATCAATTTGCTTTTATTTATGTATTCATTGGTTGCTTCTTGGATGTATCCTGACTGGGGATCGAACCCACAACCTTGGCAATATCAGGACAACCCTCTAACCAACTGAGCCACCTGGCCATGGCCTAAAATGCACTTTTAAATTTGGAGGGCATTGTGGGGGGGATTCTGGGCCTTAGTTGCCATTGGCAAGAGCAGGCTTCACATCTGTCCAGAATTCAGATAACCTAAGGGCCTGCTGATGGGACTGAGGTAGGTCTAGGGGGTTCATATTTCATTGAAAATTTTATTCAGGGATCAAGTCCCCTTTTGGGGCAAAGGGGAGAAGGGATTGATTATTTTGACTAGCAGGAGAAATGTACAAACCAACCCATGACCCCATGGACGGGGTCATCAGCAGAGGAGCTTGCTGCTGTGTTCCATCTCCTCACCTGTAGGATGGGATGGAGGATGGGGGGGTACCCTGGTAGTGCCTCCCTGTCTTTGGGGTGTGGAGAGCTGTCCTTGCCACCACCACTCCACATTTCCTTACAAACCACTCTGCCTAGTGAGTGTTGTGTTTCAGATGCTCAGGGCTGCTCCTCATACATGGTTGTGCAGCTCTTGTCAGCTCACCCCAGCTAAACCACAGCTTTCTCAAATGTGCATTTAAACCCAAGTGACATGGAGGGAGCATATTGTCGGCTGTGTAGCCAGGAGGACATGGGTGCCTTTGCTGAACTTTGGCCTGCTGTGTAGGGAGCTCAGAGCAGCATTGTTATAAAAATTATTTTTTTAAACTTTTGAACAGCTCTGTCAAGGGGTGGAATTGAATCTTAAGCATGTTAATAGCTGTGCTCTGTCTTGTAGGGCAAATCTTACCGAAGAAATCTCCAGGCCCCGCAATGAGCAGCAGGGCTAAAATCATATGCAGGCCAAGGAATGCGTTATCCAGGGTGCCCTCTGGGTGGGAGAGGAAAGAAGTATCCCCAAGAACAGGAAAAATGGTTCCTACAAAGCATCCAGCCTCTTCCTGGCCTCCCATACCTTCGGCTGTGTGGGGATTAGATGCCAATGGTACATGAAGCCAATTGTCTTGGCTCTGAGTCCTTTGTCAGTGGCCAGCGGGAGGACTGGCAGGGTTCACCGCGAGCCACTGGTTCTTGGTAGGAAGCCCTGGCCTTTGCCTGTCCCCTAACTTGCTGACCTTTGGGAACAGGCCTGATAAGCAGACTTTCCAGCTGCACTTGTAGGGTAGAGCCTGGGAAGCTGTTCCTTTGGGCTGACTCCTTCCTGGCGCCTTGCTCTGCACCTAGTGGGGTCTGCCTACACCTGTGGCTTCTCTCCCTAGTCCCAGCACTCTCACTTCTTTCTCTGAGTTCTCAGTAGCAGAGGGTATCCTGAGCTTTAGCTCCTCCCAGGCCTGGAGTGTTTGGGGTTTGGACTCTGCCAACAGCAGCAGGGCAGCCGGTGCCTGTGAGGTTGGTGGTGCTGACGTTGGCTCTGCGAGGTCGGCTCAAGGTGGGTCTGGATATTGAGCAGGCCTGTCAGGGCGTTGTCACCCACACCAGGAGCACGCAGCAGGTGCGGCAGCCAGCGACACCTTCCTCTTCTGCGCCCCACCTCTGCCCTTGTCGCACTGTGTGAACTCATATGCACATTAAACTCTCAAACCCATGCTGACTAGCGTTCCTTGCTCTCGCCTTGACAGCAGCCTTCACACACAGGCTGCAGCTGTCTAGCCTTCATGTGTGTATGGGGCGGGAGGACTTAGTTGAAGGGTCTTCTATTCCAGAGCTGGAAACAACCGCATCTCAGGTTCATAACAGAACAGGCTCTGAAGATTCAGGGAAAAGGAAGTACAGCGAAACCAGAGGACAGGGCTCTTGGTGAGGACACCAGTGTTGTGAAAGCTGCCTGGGGCAATCCACAGTGTTAAGTAACTGGAAATGAAAGCTAGATGCCAGGGCCATAGCACAGTTAGAGAAAGCCATGCTGGTCAGGGCAGAAGCTGGTGGACAAGGCTGACCTAACCATCTCAGGGTGTAAGGGAGGTTCAAGTAGGCTACCTTCACTGCAGCGGAGCTTCCTGGTGTCAGGCACAGTCTCCAGGATGCTACCCAACCTAAAATTGCAGGTGTTGGGAAGTGGGATGGCAGTGCAGAATACCAACCTTTCATAACATGGGCATTTATTGATGGTTTGCTGTGTACCAGGCCTTATGCCCAGCCCTAGGAGTCTAGGTAACCCAGGAGATTAGAAACAGGCCTCTTGAGGAAAAACTAATCTGTCCCCAACCAGACTGCAAAGCTGCTCTTGCCAGGCCTGGGCTGCCCTCCCTGCTATTCAGCAGGTCTTGATTTCCACAAAGCCTTGCTCTCATGCCCTACCAGGTTTGTGCTCTCAGGTTAGCACAGGCCAGGTGTGAGGAGAGCCAGGCACCGTGACAAGTTCATCCCCTCCCCCAGTGGAGGGGAGAGGGCTGTCCTGACTCAGGTAGCTGGGCTGGGGAGGAGGCAGGAGGGTCAGGACGGGAGGGGGTCAGGACGGGAGGGGGCCAGGACGGTTGTTTGGCTTATCGCGGCTCCTGAGGTCTTCCTGGCTGACTCCAAGGAGTGGCAGACAATCAGTGCATTGTCACCAGGGCTGCATCATGGAGCAGGGGAGCTGCTGTGCAGAGGACTCGGGGCCTGGGCCTATCAGGGTGAGTGCCTCCCATTACCCAGGGCCCACTCCTGGGACAAAGACCCAGGGCATGCCCTGAGCAGGGGACAAGAGGGCAACACCCATCACCCACACCTCAACCCCTACCTCCCCTGAGCCAGTCTGTTCTAAGCCCCACTGACTGCAATGTGCCCTCAGGTGAAGACCAGGCCCTGCCATGGGGGCTGGAGAGCCCTGGGCCTGCTGCTGCTGCTGCTGCTGCTGGCATTGGCCACTGCTGGGGCTGTGGCTGGAGGGCTTTTTGGCTTTGCTCACAGCCCTCCCAAGGTGAGCCTCCTCAGGACCTGGGCAGGCATGCACACTAGGAAGGGGGAGAAGCCAGCGTATCCAGCCCTCCAATAAATCCAGGGCTTAGAGCTGAGCTTACAGGGGGAGGACAAAGGAGTGGAGGAGTCAGAAGCCTCCAAGAAGGGCTGGGGAAAGAGGGTGAGGGCAGCCCTAGCCTGCTCAGCTGAGCTCTGGCTTCCCACACAGCCACTGCTACAGATGTTCCGTCTGACCCTCCCGAGCCCCAGGGTGTACCAGTTCAACCAAACTGCCCAGGTGGACGTGGCCGGGAATGTGGCAACCATCAGGGTAACGCCGACTCAGAGTAACCACAGCTGGGCGGTGCTGTTCGATGGGCAGAGCGTGAGTTGACTGGTGGGGATGAGGGCGGGGAGGGGGGGTGTCACTGTCAAAAGGTGTTCAGATGGACTTTCCTTACCTGCCTGCCTTCCCAGGGCTGTGTCTGTTACCGACCTGCAGAGCACCGGGCCTGCTTCCTCCACCTGATGGAGGCCAGAGATCGAAAGACCCTGCAGCTTCTGGTGAACACCTCGAAGGTGAGCAGCCTCCATACTTGCACGATCAGACTTCCCAGGCCAGGGGCCAGACAAAGGGTCCTGTGTACAGCCTGGGCCCGGGGGGGGTTGGGCTCTGGTTTCAGGGGAACAGAAGCTCTATCTTCCCTTTGCTGAGGCTGCTGACAAGAACTGAGGGCGTGGCTGGCACACTGCTGGCATGTCCACAGATTCATGGGCCCTGCCCAGCCAAAGGCAGTGCAAGTATCCCTGTCCCAAGGCCCACCAGAGCCTTCTCTGCAGACCCAGGGGTCTAACAGCCCCAGCCAGGACACCCACTATGCTCAGGAGCTGCTGGCGGTGCTTGGGAGCCATGAGGTGGACCCTGCCCAAGTGGGGGCTTCAGTCCGTCACTTTTGCTCAAAGATCCCCATTTACTGGGCCCGTCGAGCAGAGGGTGAGTCGGGGAAGCTATGGGGAGAGGCCTGGGCTCCCATGGACATTCTGGGAGAGGGAGAGGAACTCTTTTGGGGTTCATTAAGACCCTTTCCCACAGGGCCCCGGAGGCAGCGGCTGATCTATCTATGCATCGACATCTGCTTCCCAAGCAACATCTGTGTGTCAGTCTGCTTTTATTACCTCCCAGACTGAACCCCCAGCCCACCCAGCCCCACAAGCCAGCCCGCTGGACGGCTCTCTCATCAGTACCATGGAAGGCAGCCACCAGCAAGGGCTAATAAACCCCTCCACTTGGCCATGATGGTGTCTTCTGTGGTCTCGGGACATATAATGGGTGGGGAGGGGAAAAGCACTGGCTTGGGGGTGGGCAGCAGCCAGGCTGCTTGGATCAGCTTCCTGAGACCTGTCACATCCAGATAAGCAACTGGAGACTAAAAGAGCCCTCAGGCAGACCAGCTGGCATCTGGGCTGGCCAAGGGAGCCAGGGTAGTCAGTCAGATCCAGCTAGCCATGGCAGAGGCTAGCCCGAGGAAGGGTTCGCTCTGACTCGGCAGCCCAACAGTCACATCTAGCAGTGCTGCCTGACGGCTGCATGCAGTCCCAGCGGGGCACAGGCTAGCCCAGCACACTGTCATTGAAGGCCAAGCACACCACGGCTTTCTGGTGGCCGCCGTATTCTCTCTTGATCTCTCCCGTCTCCACGCACCAAAGCCGGGCCAGGTTGTCAGAGGAAGCTGCAGGGAGGGAGGATATGGGTAGCAACTCAGGATTCGGCCCCACACTGGAGGCTGGCTCCCAGGTAGCAGGGAAGCCCCAGCAATCACCCTGGGCTAGCAGGGCAGGGGAGCAGGGTAGGTGGGACTCACCTGTGACAATGTACTGGGAGTCCCCAGAGAAGGCACAGCCCCACATCCAGCCTCGGGATGACTCTCCGGGATTGCTGCTCTTGATGCTTAGCTCCGTCATCAGGGAGAAATTGGACGTCCTCCAAATCTTGCACGTCTGGTCAGCCGAGCAGGTGGCGAGGAGCCTAGGGGTGGGTGTGAGCATAGTGGGGATGCCAATGCTGCATCCCCTTGCCATCCACCAAAAAGGCCCAGATCCAAAAAGCCCCCAACCCAGGCAGGTCCCTTCCTCCCCAGAGCCACAGGAACTCCTGGTCCACCAGGCCCCGCACACACGTGGAGTCTGGGCTGAAGCGGCACTGCAGGGCGTAGCGGGTGTGTGCTGGGATCTTGGTCTTGGGGATGAGCTGCGTCACCTCATCGCCAATGCCCCCCGTCAAATTCCAGACATAGCAGTTCCCCTGCAGGGTAGGAGGAAAATCATGGGGGACCAGAACCTCCAGTCTGACACATGGGGATGGATGCCCAAGCAGGTAGACCCAGATCCAGGGGCTGCCATCCAACACTGTGGTTGGACCTGGGGGCCGGGATATATTGCAGGCACAACAAGTCCCACCTGCAGGGAGCACCTGGAGGCCTGGCCCCAATCAAGGGCTACACCAGGTGGGCTCAGAGCAAGAGGCTATATCTACCTTTTCTGATGCTGCTGGCCAACCAGAATGCGAAGAATGAGATGGGCCCTGGTTAGCATGGGTCAATGGTTAGAGCATGGCCTGCATCCTGAAAGGTCATAGGTTCAACTCTGGTTCAAGAGCACATACCTAGGTTGCGGTCTGATCCTCATTCCCAGTCAGGGTGAGTGTGGGAGGCAAGTAACTAATGTGTCTCTGTCACATCATGTTTCTCTCTTTCCTCTTCCCTCCAGTCATTCCCCCCACCCCATCCTCCCTGCCTTCTACTTTCTAAAATCAATGGAAAAAATATCCTCATTCCTTGGGTGAAGATTAACAAAAAAAAAAAAAAAAAAAAAATGAGATGAGAGGAGGGCACCCACAGTATCTTGAGGCCATGATAAGGAGCCAAGGTCATCATTGGATTTATGCAGGGAACAACGGGATCAGGCTGGTACTACTCAAGAATGCCCTGGTGGCAGAGAGAGAATGGATTGGGATAAGGGGGGGTCAGAGAGAGGCCACAGAGAAGGAGAGGCAAGGGAAATTTGGACCAGAAAATGGGGTGAATGGGACAGATTTTAGATTCAGGAAGTGGGGACTGATGGGGCTACAGCAGGTAACGAGAGGTGGCATCTTGACTTTGGTGACGGTTGGAGCTGGAGTACAGGAGGGGAAAGCAGAACTGTGGGGTAAGGGAGACACCTGCAGGAAATAAAGGGACAAGGGGCAGGGCGCAGAGTTGTCTCCCCTGATACCCACACCCCAGGACTCACAGTGCTATTTACTGCCGCCATGTAGCTGGCGTCCGGGTCAATGTGGGCAGATGTGATGGAGACCTCAGGCTCAGGAATCAGCTGCTCGTTGTGGTCAGTTTTTAAGTCCCAGATGTGGATAGCACCGCTCTGGTCACCCACAATGAGCTCTGCCTGGGGTGCAAGGGATAAGGTGTGAGATAAGGCAGGACCCTTGCCCCCCAAAGCCCCAGGGCGCCCAAACCTGTGCACACCCCTCACCTGGTTGGGGTGCAGGCACACACAGTTAATGGGTGCGTTCACCTGGAAGATCCGCTGACATTGCAGGTTGCGGGACCTTTGGGGTGGGAGGCAAATACTGTAGATGCTGTTGGTGCCCCTCCTCCCCCAGATGCCCTTTCCCTGGCCATTTATCCTTGTCCCTCTGCTGATAGGAGCTTCCCCACAGGAAATACTTAGGAGGCTCACACTCACCAGGGGCAGTCTGAAGCCAATGTTTGACTCAGAAGGGGCATAAAGGCCAGTCCCCTGCCTCAAGGCAGGACTTTCTCTTTGATGCAATTTATTCTCCAGAGTTCCCTGTGGGATCAGGCTGAGACTAGACTCATTTTTGTGTGACTTTATCTCTTCTCCAACCTGCTTTCCTCATTGCTCTCAATAAATCACCCACATAGCAAACCCTGTCTCTGCTTCTGCTGAGAGGGAACTCTCAAGGTTGACCTTCACTCCCATACCCCCAGAACCCTTACACATCCAGGCAGCTGGCCCTCCTGCCTGGCATCCACACCTGAGGTCCCAGATCCGGGCAGTGCAGTCCTCCCCACCCGTGTACATCCAGCGGCCATCCTCATGGAAGCCCACAGACGCGATGTTCTTATTGACCCCATCATAGCTGATGATGGGGTTGGGGTTATTGGAGTTGAGATCATACATGCGGATGTGCTGGTAACCTGTGGGCACAGACCAAACTGAGGTTTGGCTGGGCCTAGATCAAACCACCAAGAGCTTAGGGGTCAGGCTGAGGGTACAGGTACCTGCAGCAGCAATCATACTGCGGTCGGGCGTGATTTCCAGTGCGTTCACCTGCTACGTATGCTAAGGATGAGGACCAGCAGAGCCCTGGAGTCAGGAGCCCTCAAGGCCTCCACCATCTGGCTCAGCTGCTGCTGTATTCTCCCCACCCCAGGCCTTCACCCAGGCTGCCAACCCCACCAGGGATCCTGTCCAGCACCATCCTCCCCACCTTCCCAGCAGAGGATACAGAGTCCTGGTGCTGCACCGTGCGGGTGCAGATCCCGCTGTGGGCCTGCCAAAACCGCACGGTGTGGTCATAGCCCGCAGTAGCCAAGATGACCGGGTCACTGCCCACAGTGCCTGGGGATGTGTTCATGTTGTGGCTGCTTGGAAGCCTCAGCAGGGGTCAAAGGTCAGAGGATCTGGAAAATAGAAAGGTGAGTATACCCTTTATGTCCTAAACCAGCGATTTCCAATCTTTTACATCTCATTGAGCACATACACTAAATACTAAAATTCTGCGACACACCAAGAAATATTTTTGCTGATCTGACAAAAAAAAAAAAGTTATAATTGTGATTCATTCGCACTGAAGGGCTATTGTTGTGTTGGCTGTTATCGTTTTGAAATCTGACAATCTAATGGAAAAGAGGTCAGTGCCCCTGACTAAATGGGAATTGCACGTTTTAAAAATTCTTGCGGCACACCAGTTGAAAATCGTTGTCCTAAGCAGATTACAGGTCCACTCGGGAGTATACATATTACCATTTTAGATATGGAGAAACTGAGGCACAGAGAGGGTAAGGTGACCAGACGTCCCGATTTTTAACAATTCTTTCCAAAAATCGGGACTGTTTTAAAACGCCGCGGGACAAATTGTTAAAAATCGGGGCATCTGGTCACCTTAGCTAGGGACACGCACGGCAACCGGCAAGAGGCAGCCTCCCAGCCAGCTCTGCAGGGTACTCCCGCGGTGGCCCCACAGACACGCCGCGGACGCCGCCACCCGCAGGGGCAGCTGCGCAGGCGCCTCTCGCGCCCCAAGGATGGGTCGCGCGTGCGCAAGGCGGCAGAGAGGGGCCGACCGGAAGCCGAGTGCTGCGACTGCGCATGCGTAGCAGGCCAGCGGCTAGACCTGATGTGAGGAGTCCCTCTGAGGCGGGGTTCTGGCGCTCCCTGGTTCTCTGCCGGCGGCCGGGCTCTGTCCCACGGGGCCAGCTTCCCCCGGGTGCGCTCTCCGGGCCACACGGGAGCTGCTTTCTGGCCCTCGTCCCGCGACCTCACTACCGTCCCGGCGGCTCGGCGCTCCGCCGCAGTCCAGGGCGGCGAGTGGAGGAGTGAGTCGATAGAGGCTGAGGCCGAGCGTAGAGTTATCGATGGGCCGATCGGGCGACACCACGGGGCATGCCGGGGTGGGTGGGACGAGACCAAGGCTCTGGTGCTGCGCGGCCAGTCCCTCCCTGGGAGAACCAGTAGGGGCGTTGGTGCTGGCTGGCGGCGAGGGGTAGATGAAGGAAGTGGTGCCTCAGCCTTCTCGTCACTCGAGCGCCCCTCCCTGGTGGCACTCATTTTCCATGCGTGGGTCCCGAGGCCAGTCTCTTCCACCCCCTTCTCCGCAGGCCGGGGTAGGATTCCCAGGTCAATTACCACCAGACGCTTAGTTACATTTGAATTGCACATGAGCGGCAATAACAACAACAAAAAGTCCCAAAGATAAACTAAAAAAGTCCCATGAGATAAACTAAAAAGGTTTTCGTTGCTTACGTGAAATTCAGATGTAACTCGGCGTCCTGTAGTTTTATTCGCTACATCTGGCAACCTTAGTCCGGGCACGTACAGGGCTTTGTAGACCCATCCTCCATTCTCCTAACTCAACCCAGTGACCCCTCCAAAACTGGGGTCCTTCATACTTTATTTTCCATTCTCCACCCCACACATTCCAGGCACATAGTCTCACCCTTTTTCACAGAAAAACAGCCCTTAAGTCAGGCTCTCCCACTGTTTGTGCTGCACCTTCCCCCCCTTCCTTATCCGGCCCTTGTACTAAGGCCACATCCTCCAGCCCATCCCCCCAAGCCCTGGATCCCAAGAACCTTCTTGTACCTTCCCCTCTTCCCCTTCTTTCTTCTCCCCAAACTTGAAACTCCATAAAACAACCCAAAGCTCTAATCCAGCCCCCACTCTCTCCTTCAAAGAGCTGTCTTCACCGCCTTGCTGGTTCCACATTCTCGCTTCCCACTCCTCTTGCTGTCAGGACTTTTGTTCCCGGCTCTCCAGTTAGAATGCCACAAGGTCACTGCCCTTCTCATGCTGCCAAACCCAGTCGATACTTTTCTTTCTGGATCTTTGCACTGCTCCTGAAAAGCTCCTGTTGCCTAGCTTCTTGGCCAGGCATTCAGCCTCTTCCTCTATCCCTAAGGCTGGTGCCCTTCAGAGTTCTTGTCTCTGCGCACCACACTGTCCCTGGGTCTCCAGGGCTTCTCATACCGCCATCCCTCCTCCCGGGTCTCCAGCTCAGACCTAGCACCCTGCGAGACACACTGTCCCTGGAAGGCCCCACGACATCTCTACTTTTCACAGCCAAGACGATTCGCTATGGACTACTCCTCTGTGCGCAGTGGCTACTTGGGTATTTCAACTACTTATGTATGATCCAGGTGCCGTCACTACCCACTCTCCCATAACATTCTCCTGGCCTGCCTTCCCACACCACTTTGCCCCCCCCCCCCAAGCTATCCTACACATTGCAAAACGGTCTCTTAAAAACCTAAGTCTGTTACAAGCCTTCAGGGGGTTCCTGTAACCCTCCAGACCCCTGGGTCTGGCCTCTACAGACCCAACAGCTTTCTCCCCGTCTCCACTCCATGAGCCACTTGCTCTGTGCTCCATCTGCCACCAACACACTCCCTTCTGAACCTTCCCCCATACCTAGGATGCTTTCCCCTCCACCTCTTTACCTATTGAACTGGTTTTCAGCACCTTTCATAGCATTTTCAGGGCTTATTCTGTGTGAGGCATTACGCTGTTTTTGTTTTAATTGAAGTCAAATTCACATGATATGAAATGAACTATTTTCTTTTTTTGTAAATATATTTTATTGATTTTTTACAGAGAGAAAGGGAGAGAGATAGAGAGCTAGAAACATCGATGAGAGAGAAACATAGATCAGCTGCCTCCTGCACGCCCCCCACTAGGGATGCGCCTGCAACCAGAGTAGTGCCCTTGACTGGAATCGAACCTGGGACCCTTCAGTCCGCAGGCTGACGCTCTATCCACTGAGCCAGACCAGTTTTGGCTGAAATGAACTATTTTCAAATTTTGTGGCACTTTGTACATTAAAAGGTGTGCAACTACCACTTCTATCTACCGTGTTTCCCCGAAAATAAGACATCCTCCGAAAATAAGACCTAGCGCATGGAAAGATAAGACATGCCCTGAAAATAAGACCTAGCACAACTTTGGGGGGAAAAATTAATATAAGACACTATCTTAGCCGAAACGAGTTTGGCTCAGTGGTAGAGCGTCGGTCTGTGGACTGAAAGGTCCCGGGTTCGATTCCAGTCAAGGGCATGTATGTTGGTTGCGGGCACATCCCCGGTGGGGGGTGTGCAGGAGGCGGCTGGTCGATGTTTCTCTCTCATCGACGTTTCTGGCTCTCTATCTCTCTCCCTTCCTCTCTGTAAAAAATCAATAAAATATATTTTTTTAAAAAGACACTACTTATTTTTGGGGAAACAGGGTAGTTCTAGAACATTTTCATCATCCCAAAAGAAAACCCCATATCCATTATGCAATCACTCATCATTTCCCCCCCGACCCTCCCTCAACTTTCCCAGCTCTTGGCAACCACCAATCAATCTACTTTCTGTCTCTATGGATTTGCCTATTCTGGGTATTTCTTTTTTATATAAGGGGAGAAGTCCTCTCCCCTTTAAGCATCAGCTTGTTCCCAGTGTGTTTCTGTTTTGTTTATTCCCTTGTTTTGTTTTTAGGTTCAACATATAAGTGAAATCATAGAGTATTTGTCTTTCTTTTGTCTGGCTTATTTCACTTAGCATAATGCCCTCTAGGTCCAACCATGTTATTGCAAATAGCAAGATTTCATAATTTTTATGGCTGAATAATATTCCATTATCCATTTCTCTGTTGATGGACATCTATGTTACTTTCATACATTGGCGATTACTAGTGATGCTGCAGTGAACATAGGGGTGCGTATATCTTTCAAATTAGTGTTTTTGTTTTCTTCAGATAAATACCCAAGAGTGGATTTGCTGGGTTATATGGTAGCTCTATTTTGAATTTTCTGAGGAATCTCCACACTGTTTTCCATGGTGGCTGAACCAGTTTACAGTCCCATCAACAGTGTATGTGGGTTCCCTTTTCTCCACATGCTCACTAACATTTGTTGTTTATTGATGATAGCCACAGTGACAGGTGTGAGGTGATAGCTCACTGTGGTTTTGATTTTAATTTCCCTGATCATTAGTGATGTTGAGCATCTTTTCATATATCTGTTGGCCATCTGTATGCTCTGTTGGGAGAAATGTTTATTCAGGTCCTCTGCCCATTTTTAAAAGTTTTTATTTTTCCCTTAAAGTTGGCATTCAACATTATTTTGTACTAGAGGCCTGGTGCACGAAATTTGTACACTGGAGGGGGAGAGGGGTTGTCCCTCAGCCCAGCCTGCACCTTCTCACAGTCCAGGACCCCTCTCTCCTTACTGCCTGCCTATTTGCTGCTGCTTAGTACTGCCGCAGAGGCGAGAGAGGCTCCCGTCACTGCACTTGCCAGCCTTGAACCCAGTTTCTGGTGAGTACACTGACCCCCAGGGGGAAGCTCCTCCATTCAGCGTCTGCCCCCTGGTGGTCAGTGCACATCACAGCAACCAATTGCTCTGGTCGTTCTGCCAACTATCGCTTAGGCCTGTGGTCAGCAAACTGTGGCTTGTGAGCCACATGTGGTTCTTTGGCCCCTTGAGTGTGGTTCTGCCACAAAATATCACGGCCTGGGCAAGTCTGTTTTGAAGAAGTGGCATTAGAAGAAGTTTAAGTTTAAAAAATTTGGCTCTCGAGAAATTTCAATCATTGTACTGTTGATATTTAACTCTGTTAACTAATGAACGAGTTTGCCGACCACTGGCTTACGCTTTTATTATATAGATTGATTTCAGGTGTACAGCATAGTGGTAAAACAGTCATATACTTCATAAAGTGATCACCCTAACATTTCAAGTACCCACCTGGTACCATACATAGCTATTACAGTATTATTTTTTTTTTTTTTTTTTTTAAATATATTTTATTGATTTTTAACAGAGAGAAAGGGTGAGAGATAGAGAGCTAGAAACGTCAATGTGAGAGAAACATCGACCAG